CATTATCGTCAATCTTTTATTTATTAGCATACACATCCCTGCCGACGGATTGTGTCCAAAAAAATTATATGTAAACTTGAAAAGATAAATACATGCAGCATAGTTCTAGAGAGTTGGGATTTGCTTATATGCAATTTAAATTCTACACCTTGTTGCTGAAAAGTTTTTTCTGTTTTTCACAATTGGCGTAAAAAATAAAGAGCAAATTTTAGCATTTCTTCTATAATTTTGGCCCAATATCAGAAAAGTGAAATTAGGAGGAGGTTTTTTAACAATTTTAGCACTCTTTATATTCTCTTATAAATTGTAGCACAAGTTCTTTTTCTTTTTGAGGTACTACATTGTATTTCTAACAATTATACTTTATATTTTTTATTCTCTCCAAAGAAATTGAGATTTGCTTGTTTTGCTATCTCTATATTCTTCGATGTAGCACTAGACAATAAGTTTTAGTTAGTGTTCGATTAGTTCAAGTACTTTTGATTAGTGTCGAGATTCTTGATCCTAGTCCCTATATAAATTTTAATATTTTTTATTTTCTAAGTTTATGGGACTGAGCTTTCCAATTGAGAAAGAAAAAAGTGCTTATTTTGTGAAAAAATCTTACAGATCATCGTGGAAGAACTTAGTTAATAGATTCCTAACTTCCTATTACGATTGTGATTCATTCGTCGCCTAATTTTGAACATAGACTAGGAATGTTAAAATTTCTCGTCCCTATCCACCCCAAGCAGATGGTTGGAATGATATATTTTTAATGTTTAATAATGGATTTGCAACAAATTAAAGTTCAGTGAACAGAATGACATAAGTACAAAGTTTAATGGTCATTTGGGAAATTAACTCAAAGCCAAACCCTAGCTCTATAAGTTCGATCCTTTAGCTGCCCTCCAACGAACTCTTCTTTGGTTCTTATTCGCCAGATTCTTCGATCCTAATAAGTTCGATCTGGCTTTTCTTCTTCCCTAATGATCTGTTTCTCTCCGGTCTTTTGGTGAGATTTTCATGGATTGATTATCTGTCAATATTGCATCTGGTTTACCCTCTCCTTGTTATGTGTGTACTGGGAGATATAACTGATGCATAAATCGAATAGGGCGGCTTACCAGCCAACTGCACAAAATTTTGTATTTCCTTGGTGTCAAATGGACCTTCCGAGATTTGAATTTATTATTTTGTTTGTTGAAAATGGCAAATGAAGAATGTTAAATCCACACTGAATTACCGTGTAGAATATATAACTCCGCTTATTATCTGATGCCTTTTGCTGATTTATGTACTTTTTTTTTGTTTTGATTTTAAAAGTTTTTTCCTCAATGATGTGGAAAAGCAGACGGGCGGACTGAATCTGATGCCGTGTTGAGTGTCTGCATAATTCCTCCTTTGGAATGTATGTGAGATATGCTTTTACAAATTTACATCACTTTTTATGATCAAAATTTTCGTTTATTTGATTTTCAACTAAATTGTAAATTATTTTTTCAATTGTGCTGTGAACAATTTTAATAATGTCTGGACAAATGAAACAAGTTCATGATTTGTTATCCGAGTTCTGAGCTACACGAATTCTTCGTTTTTATTTGTTTTTTAAAATGATTTTCGCCTAACTTTATGAATTATTAAAATTATAATGTTTTGCAGTTTTGGTAAGCTGCGTTTGGGCTGTGATGTTTGAAACTACCTATTTTATGAGGAATTTTCCTTTGATTATAATAACCAATGGATCCTTCTGAGCTCCTTCAATTTACACACGCACACACATTAGTTCATATGCATAATTTTGTTTCTTTTTTTGAATCGGATATACTTTTGGTTGATATGGAGAAAATGCTCAAACCATTGAGATGAGGAATAGCCGATTTGGATATATAAATGACAATAAAAAAATGCTTCCAGACTACAATTATCTGATCAATGGTTTTCAAGAATTACAATCCCTATATCGGTAATATGATGTTAGTGTATTCTCTTCATCCAATATTTCTTACTATACATGTCTTAAGCTGTTCATTTAGTATATATTTGAATTCGTCAGTGTTTGTTCTTCATCTAGGAAGCTCCCTGGGAAAAACTGTTATGGTTTAGCCTTGACTGAATTTAGATGTTGAAAATATCCTCAAGTTCTGAGTGAGCTTAGTTTGTAATACCTGTTAATTTTTATTTTCAATTAAGTGAAAATGAATCTGAATATCTTGTTTTTGGAAAAACTTGTCATAAAACGTGTTTTTATACTTTGGCCACCTAAGTGTGTTAAATCAAAAAGTATGTGGCTGAAAGGATAACTGAAATTCTCGTCCAATAGTTGAATTAAAGGCTTGGTCTCGATCTTAAACATCATTCAAGTGTAACTTCGACACAATGAACATAGACTTTCATATAAATCTATACATGCATATATCGAAGTGTATGACAAATGTATCTTAACAAAAATATTAAAATTGAAGTTAATCATGACTTCGAGCATCATGATAAAATGTCAACTCATATTATAGATGAAAAGCTTAGAAAAATTGTCTATAATAGAGTTACTTGCACGACTAAAAGGAAAACTTAAAAATCTGCTCCCTAAAAATTCAACTCAGATTGAGGCAAAATGAAGATTAGTTTCCTCTGGCTGAAAAACACAATTGAAACTCCCATGAAGGGATCCATTTCATGTGAGAGCTCAGTTCTACCAGGCCTGGCAGAGAAGCATTTTTTATAAAATAATATTATACGTAATTTCATTTTTATTTTTTAACAACACATTCTCTACCAAATCACTGTTCCATAATGTATTTTTTGTATAAAAATGGAGCTCAAACAGTTAGAAAAATGAAGAAGAGAGAATTCAATGCTCTAAAAATATAAACACAATGAAATAAATTGGCGAGTTATCATGGGTGACAAACCTTTGAATTCAGACAAAATTTTAGATGGTATTTTTTTCTCATTCGATTGACAGTTCTTAATAGATACCATTGATTTTTTTTTTTTTTTAAGATGCTCTCTATATTGCTTATGTGGCAATTTTTTAAAACAATCCGCGTTAACATTTAAGATGCTTAAAGGATGTTAAGTTTATAAAAAACTGTTACATGTACATCATGCTTGGCGGAAAGGCTCTATGACAATCGGCCGGGGAGTTTGCGGAGCTCTCTCTGATCGAAATGTGAAATGCTAAGCTTTTAGTTTTATGTGTAGCGAGTTAGCTAATGAGAGTATACAAGAGGAGTCTAGCCCCAAGGGAGTAGAAATTTCCTACAGATGCTTTTTCAGCTCTTAGTGACATGATTTTGATAGCCAACATCAGCCCATGAGGGTTCCTGTGAGGAAAGGACAATACTCGATTGAGTATGGTAGATGGAGGGGGGAGAGCTCACTTTATTCTTTTACTTACTCTACTCACTACTAAGCCATTCTTACACTGAAGTTGAATAATTTCAATCAGCTTCTGCGTGATTAGTCGACAAGATTTAGGAGATTCTCATTCAGACAGTCGTACAAAACATTTTTAAGGTCCCCCATAGTCAAAAGCTCCTGATATTCATTACCGGACTACCACAAATAAAGGGGAATTCTCCGTTGCATCATGTTCGGAATGCGAACTGATTTGACAGACATGAAAAAATGGACATCCATGGATGAAGTATAGAGAAGCATAAGGAAGCTTAGCTTCCCATCTAGATGCCAACCAGTAGATTTATCTAAACTTGGCAGGATGCATTCAATTGTTCCTTTAATAATCTTCGATTAAAAGAGTAGCATGCTTGTCCACCAAGGTGTTATCTTATTAACTATAAAGATTTCAAAATACATTTTTAAATATTAGAAACTTGTGGAATTTTATTAAAAATCAGGTAGTCACATTTTGTAACATCTGATAAATATTATGACCAATAATTTAATTAAACGGATCACAATCCCAATAACACACAATTTTGGATCACGATCTCATGCCAGTCACAAATTACACAAGGTCACAATCACACAATTATAAGTCACAGATCACGTATTTTAATTACAAATCACACAATAAATAGGTCCCAAATTAAAACTATCCATATCCTATTCGCCCCACCCTGTCAGCACCATCCATATCGCCGTGCCGCCACCACCTCGAATCCACAACCCACCAACACCTCCACCGTACCACCACCACTTTCACCTCAAATCCACCACCTCCACCTCCACCTCCAAAATCCACTTACATTTGCTTCCATCTTAACATCCAAACAAATATTAGTCGGCTTCAAGTCACGGTGCACTATGGGAAAATCGTAACCGCAGTGCAATTACACCAACCCATTGGCAATGGAAACTAGAGCTTCAAATCCCACTGACGAAGACTCCAAGAATGGCGACTTTCTGCATGGTTTGGGGTGAAATAGTAGGGCTAACTTAGAACCTATAATGGTGAAATAACGGAGGTTTAGGGCACGATTGAGAAAGGCAGATTTCGGAGGCGGTGGGGCTCAGACGACCAACGGTAATAGGTGCGGAAGAGAGTTGTGTATTATATTGTAGAGACAGAAATTGAGATTGTTTACATGAAGAGAAAAAAAAAAATATATATATATATATATATATATGCACAAAGATAATCCAACTGTGGGCCCTACACCAAATAAGCAAATAAATAGAAATGGTGCGTATTTGGCTTATTTTCAAACCACAAACCTGGTTCGAGTGCCTCAACTCAAAAATTCTTACCATTTGTATCCATAGTCCTCGAAAATCTTTAAATGACTAACCATAAAAAATCTGGTCTTACGAAAAAAGTCAGTACACATTATGAAGTTCAGTCTTTTGAAACTCAAATTATATAAATAATTTGATTCCAACCTTCAAAACAGCTACCTGGAATTCTTCAACCAGTATAACAAAACCTAGAGTTAGGCAACTTCACAAAATTGCTCGAGCACAACAAAATGACTGCTGCAGTTGCTCTATGGAGGAATGAAAAATCCCTGGTTATAAAGAGTCTCAACAAAAAGTATTTACAATTTCCCACTGTCTATCTAATCATCAATTGTCTGAATTTCCCCCATCATCATTCGATTGCTAACGATGTTGAATCCAAGCACTGATGGGCTTACCTTCTTCCCTTTCTTCCCCTTCTTTTTGCCTCCTTTTGGGGCCCCATCAGTAGCATCCAAACCACCTTGATTGGAGCCCCCAACGCCCACATAGTCGGAAGTCATATCTCCCACACCGGAGGCAGTGGCTTTTCGATCATTCCGTGTTTTGAAGGCGATATCAATAACATCCATAGGAAGAAAATCTTTGTAATTTAGAAACTTATCAATGAACTCACGGTTGGGATCAAAAGAGCCGAGGTTCTCTATTAGAAGAATTTCAGCTTCCGCCCTTGATTGCTTTATACAAAATTCCAAGACACTTGTATCTGGAAAAAATGGAAAATATGATCAGCATACAACTCAAATAAAATGGCACTCTTAATGCTTATTATACAGAAACAGCAACTATACAAACCTTTCGATCCAATGAGTCTGAAGCACTCGCTCTCACACCATTCCTTAAAGTCCATTGCCTCTGCAACAGTATGGTGAAGAAGCTAATTCATTCTATCAATTATTTTTCAAGATAGAAAATATAAAATAAATTTGTTCGAACAGTGGTTTACCTGAATGCTTAGTCAAGGAGTCCGTTTTCCCTCTCAAGGATGGCTGAGCAGAGGCAGGTGATGATGAAAGTGAATACCCTCCAGGCCTGCCACCATTGGACTTCTGTCGATTCAATGACCTTCCAGTAGATACTTTGATTGGGGTACTTTTGCTTCCCCAACTGCCTTGGCTTCCAAGTTGAGGAAAATCTGACCTGCGGGCAATACAGAGAGCGACTTAGCAAACACAAGGCCATTTCCAAACTCGTCTCTGCACAATTAGAAAGGTCAAAAAATCTTGTCCCGAATTTTAAAAAGAGAAGTTAGACAAAAATATTGCGCCAACAAAAGAACATCCCAGCTTATTATCCAGATAGAAGTACCAAGGTTTGGTTATAATACAGCTAGACAACGAAGGAATGTCCCATTAACAAAGCCAGACCACAGGTTCAGTTTCAATGAAATTAAGCCACTATTAATTGGCAAGAAGACAACAATCAAGAAATGTGAGAGGTAATTTTCTCAAGATAAATTCAAAATCATCTAATCACTACCCACTCTCCAACTGTAACCCAACTTTACAGTTTTAAGTGTGCACCCATGCTCCTTCTCACTCAATGTATCAAACTCCAGCACCAAATTCCAACAACTTTACCCAATCTCATCAAACTACCATGTCATCGGATCAAGCACCAAGACACTACCTCAGAACCACCATCTGATACACCATCATCAACTGCATCAACAAGTGTAAATAACTAAACAAGTAAACATATTTTCATTATACTGCTTCTATTGCCAATGTTGTTCATGGCTAGGAGAGAGAGAAAATAAAAAAATAAAAACCCAGAGAGACAAAGCCACATTTATCCTTCTCATCTATCAAGTTTTTTTTGTGTACTCCATGTTTTTTTCACGGTGCAAGAATTTTGCACTTTTACAGATGTGACGGCATAAAACTAGAAATGGAGGAGGAAGAGGTTTAGGACGTAAGGATTCATTATGATAGACCTCAATTAGGATCACCTATGCAAGAAGAAGAAAAGGGGTGAATACATCCAAATGTGAGGCAGCCAGGTCACTTCAGATTCCAGAAGGTTCTTCCATTCAGTTAGCAGGAGAGGCATGTGGGTAATTAAGCTATAGAAGAGGTCTATAAATAGGGTGGAGGAGGGTTATGTAAAGGCACGTTTTCAGTGATATTCAGTTAGAAAGGAGAGCACAGGGCCTCTCGAGTTGCCTTGAACTATCTTTCAATTTCCTGTTTTCCATTTGCCTTTCAATTCTAATACACCTGTCATAATTAGCAACTCTGCAGTATATTTCCTTTCCAGCAAATTACAGTACAACAAAAGCCTTTTTACACTTTCAATTGTCAAACTACTTCCCTTGAACAGCAGCATCCAGGTGCAAATCTGTAACAGAGGCAGAGGTTCCTATCACATTACTAGTAGACATGTCTGTAATACCTTCATGAGCTCAACAAGTAAGAGCAGACATATATAATTAAATCTTCGAAGGCGCAGGCTTGCCCTTTCTTTAGATTTCCTAGTTATCCATTTTGCCATGATAATATAAGCAAGGAGCTCTTGCCCAAATCCTATTTACTGGTAGTTATGTGGTTTGCAAATAACTAACATTATCGAAAATTACATATGCTCACAGCAGGCATACATCATTGAACATTGCATCAATCCACATAAAAGAAAAACACAGATTAAAAAATTTCGATAGGAGAGAGAACAAAAAACTAAGTTGTCAATGCAAGCATCGGATTCAGATCGGTAAAATCAAGTTATTTGATGATGTATGCTGATAAAAGACGTCAGAATAGCAAGAGTGAGAGATTCATACTGCTTTGCCTCATGGTTAGGTTGCTCTAATGGCCCCCAGAAAAGATCATTATCAACTTCATGTTTTGAGCGAGAAGAAGCTGGCAAGTTGATTTGGATAGAGGATGCAGCTTTGGCAGAAGACGATGAAGAAGGACCAACTCCACGGGGAGGTTGATTGATAGCAGGTTTCTGAGGTGTTGGCATTGGAGTTCCCTGAGATGCAGAAGAAACTTTTCTCTGCTGTTCCTTAAGGATGTCCCTCAATGATGTTGGCTTCTGGATCTTCACAGAGTCAGTGGACCAGGCAGGAGCAGGGGATGGATTTGTGGACTCCCCCTTCCACATAACAAAATCTCCCAAGGAAGGGCCAGAGGGAACTGCAGGTAATATTTCCTTCTGCGGTAGCTGATGAGAACGATTGCCTTTTTCAATGAAATTTGATCCAACAGACAAATCAGGTGAAGCAACAGGCACCGAGACTTTAGCTCCCGCACCCTTGGCTTTAGCAGACTTTTTACGACTCTTTTTAGTATCCTTAGCCTCAATAAAGTTATCATCATCCACTGAATCAATTTGAGAATACATAAGAGATGCAGGAGGTAGACTAGATGCAGCATCAGAAATCTGCATTTCATTTCCACTTGACTTGGTCACATTAGTTTCCCAAAATAGATCATGCAATTGGCTCTTCTGGTTTGAGGAACTCTCAGATTTTCCCAAAATTACCTCAGTGGCGGCAGAATCTTGTATTGTTGCACCAAGTGCCTTGGGATCTGAATTCGCTACAATCCCAGCCCAAGGAGTAGAGACACTCATGGAGCTCAGAGATGTTGAGATTTCAGAAACTGCCATTTCTTCTTGTGCTCTCCTCTGCTCTTCCCGTTGAATTTCTGATAATGATTTTGGCTTGAAACCAGGAGTATGCTTCCAGGCACTTTGTCCAGAATTTGCTTGTGTATTGAACTGCGATACGACTTGTCCTGGCTGACCCCTATTCTTGGTAGCCTCACCATCATCTGTAAACCCATGTACAGGCAATGAGTTTTGGCCCAACAAAGAATCAATACCATCAGAAGTAACTTTATCAGTTTTCCTATTTCCTTGAACAGTTTGCATCTCAGGTGTCTCATTATAAATATTTGTCCCCTCAAATTCTGATGATTCTGCCTTTTGCGTCTTAGAGACTCCCTTTGCCGAGTCAGAGGATTGTGCCTTTGAAGCCTTCTGCTTCTTTGACTTCTTGGCAGATGATTTTTTCACCTCCTGTGTTTCGGCATTTCTCACTTCCTTCACCCCAAGGAAATCATCATTGTGATTCTCTCCTACATCTTGGGGTTCTGATACTGTGCTTGGGGGTGCTACAACTGCATTTGCCCTTTCGGGAACCACCAACTCGTTATCACAACCTCCTACCAATTGCAGTGCAGCTGAGTTTCCTAAATCTTCCCCAGGTGGAAAACTTGGAGCATCAGCAGATGAAGCAACTTTGATGGGTTCATCATTATGTGATTTCTGTTCGGATGGATATCTGTTTTCCATTTCTGACCGGGGAAAAGTATCCATCACAGCTGTTGTAATCGGAAAACCCTTCTGCTGCATGTTATCAACTTGTTCAGGCAGAGGGGCATCCAAGTTCCTTTGATGGACAGTATTCCCAAAAATTTGATGAGGCAGATGCATTGAAGGGGATTCAGAACCAACATTAGAGCTATTATCCTGGGAAACACTAGAAGGTAAAATGATATTAGAAGCACTTTCTTGCAAATTTGGAGTGGGAACAATCTGAGAACCAGTCCGAAAAAATTCATGAGATTGCTGAAACTGAGCATGATCCCTAGAAGCATTTCCAGAAACCAGACCCGAAGTTTGCAATTGCACAAACGGTGACTCGCCAAGCCTTTGGTAGGGATGATGCTCTGAGAGCACATGTGAAAGCAATTGTTGCTGCTGGCGCACGAGCTGTTCCTGTTCCTCCTGTTTTTGTTGCTGCTTAAGCAACAACAGTTTGTCCAAAAGCGACAGCTGTTGTGATGCAACTGGGGCCTGGGAGTGCGGCTGCAACAAATACTGCTGTTGCAACAAACTTAACATTTGTGGCTCTTGAGAGAGACCGGAAGAGATTAGCTTTTCTGGGGTTAACGTGCTGGAAGAATTATTAACAGATTGAGCTAATATATTAGTCAACAATGAATTCTGACACTGTAGACTTTGCTGTTGTATTCCCAATCCAGCTTGGGGAGGAAAATTCTGACCAGGATGTGTGTCCAACTTATCCTGAAGTTGGTCCAAACCCCCCTGAACTGGATAATTCAACCAACCACCAGTTTCATTTTTGACATTATTTGTTGATCTGTCTGGAAAGCCTTGAAGGATAGACATTAGGTCCGCATTCTGAGAATTATGCTGTGCGCGAGCATTCTCTGAAATTGACGAGTTAAGATTTGAGTGTGCCAGCAAGGAGTCTTTTACAACATCTGTCTTTGCCGAACGGGAAGCTGCATCTTGTCCAGGCCAATATGAATAAGGATTAGTCAGAGACCTCTGCCTCTCCAGTGTCATCTTTTTGGCCAACAGATATGGATCATCCCCACTGCCTGCTCCTACAGGATGTAATGCACTTGAATTAATCCCCATGTATCCCTGCATACCTGTACAGCAATATAAAAGTTCACATAAGAATAAGATGGCCATAAAACATTCCTTGAAATTGAGAAGCCAAAAAGTGGTGTTTCTTTATCTTTACATAAAAAGACTCGGACCTTCTGAGGGAGAAAACATCTCAACTGAGGCACTACTCGTACTGCCGGACATCAGTGACTCCAAAAACCTGTTCTCAGCCTCCGGTATCGGACCAGGCATATATCTTGGCTCATTCCTCATCATATCAGCCTCGCTTGAAGCTGAGTTAAGCTTTCCAAGGCTGTTGTTGTTCAACCTACCAGATGCACCTTGAGTTTCATTAGGCTTAGATGTACTAAATCCAGGAGGTGGTCGAGCTTTGGCGCGCAAGTGGGGCATCACATCCCCAAGTAGATAGAATGGCGAGTCAGCCGGTGCACTGACCAAGCGAACTTGCAACTCTATGCCAAAATAACCAGCCTCAAACCATCCAATTATATCGCTCCCAGCAAATGGACCTTGAATTTCACCTTGTGGGTCCTTATAGTAAAGAACTAGGTCCTCTGGAGATGGCTGAGAATTCTTGCATGATTCGAGCTCCCTGTCAAACACTGCAGATGGTTGACTTCTCATGATAGAGTCATCACCTATCTGCCATTTGGATCCTTCTCTTTTGGCATTTGTTGAATCTGCCAAATTGTTCTCCCACACACTGGTCAAATCCTTCTGCACATCTATAGATGTATCTCTCCAATTATGAATAGTTGACTTGGAATGCTCTGAGAAAGATGAAGATCTCCAAGCACCCACATGAAGCATTGAAGAATTTCCTGGCACGCTTGACTTTCTACTTGAGGTCTCGTCCTCGTTCTTCCCATAAGAAGCGTTGCCTTCTTTCAAAGCTGAAACAGAAAGGAATAAGTTAATTTTCTTAGATTTGTAGCTATTGTATAAAGGCTAAATGAAGTGGAATATGTTTTATAATTTTAATTCATGAATAACACACAGGAGTTGCTGCACCAAATTATTGAAGTTTTTTGTTAATTTGCATGCAGGAGATGTCTTAAAAGGCAATGAGAAATTGAAACTCAAATGTAAAATCAACAAGATCCCAAAAGGACAGATATCATAATCATCAATTTTAAGAAAGCTTTGACCAGAACATCCTGGCAACCACGAGAGATTGAACGGTACAATTTGATTTATTGGAAATTTAACTGTTATATTATCTAAGAAGTCACTTCTGTGACTTTGTTGTCCTTTTGATGTATAAAAATGATTTCATCATCTCGGGATGAAGTTATCCTGCACAGTAAAAAATGAAAAAAAAATGAAAAAATGAAAATGCAAATCATTGATGGCACCTTCAGGATTCAACTTGCGATCGGAAAATGCCTGATAATCCTGCTCCACTTTAGCATTTGGCCAAGCATAAATATGTTTCTCGTGGGACAAGCTTTCTGAATAATTTGAATAACCACCTTCAACATTGTCCATGGTTTCACTTCTAGGATTATCAAGAGCAAGTGGCAAATCATTTCTACTGCCTGATCATAGAAATTAAAACCAATACAGATCAAAGAGTGCCAATGCTTCAATCACATAACGCGAAAAATTGAATGGGGACATGTAAAAATAATAAATTCAAATACAACATACCAAGCCTGCTTCCTTTTGACTGCAAAGAATCCGTTGGCGTTCGACCAACAGATCCTTCTTTAGTGATCTGTGGAGTGCCACTACTTATGATTTCTCCTTTATCAATTCCCTTAAAGATAACCTACAGACACAAGCAATCAATTGAAATTCCAAGCAGAAACCAACCGAAGTTCTTAAAACAGTAGATAATATTGTTTACCAATTCTTCAGGAGTGGGGGAGCAGAAAGCTAGAGGCTCTAAAGGTTCTTCCAGACAGAGGCAAGGTACTCTATCAATTTCATCTAAAAGCTTTGCAAAGGATCTCATATCAGTTATCCTGTACACATTAAGCAATTTTGTCCGGCTATATCTTAATGGAGTATGCTCTTCAAGGCCACTTTCAACCTTTTCTGAAAAAGATCCAACTGGTTGGGGAGGAATATAAATATTGGTGACAGAGTTCCCTCCAGAGCTAATCCTTCCCCTACCGAGTGAAAATGTTGGAGCAGGATCTTCTCCACGTCCGCGACCATGCACAAATGAAGAAACCTGTTTGTTTGGGGTCAAAGCCTGGTGCAGAGGCTCCGCTCTGCCTCGGCTGTATGAAGTGTTAGGTCTCCATGGTAGATAGTGGTCCACATCCTTCTCATCCTTTCCATGGTATGGCGGATGGGATGGCTCTTTATCAAGCAGCATGTCAGATTCCTTGTTAGAGTCCCCCCACTTCTCAAGCACCGTGTCTGTCTGTTTTCCATCGGGCCCCCAGCGAGTGTTCCATTTGCTACGTTGGTCCTGACTGCTTTCTCTATTTCCAGAATCAGCCCATCGCTCCCCCGGGCCACGACGGGCCTCTCCATAATTTCGTCCAGATGAGTCGGTCCAGCGGTCCATCTTGCGGTTGTCATAGGGCTCTTTATCCCCCTCCCTCCATCGATCTTTGCAGACAGAGGAATAGGTGTCCCTTTCTTCATCAAGCCAGCGGTCACGACGACCAGTTTCCATATCCAGGACAGATGGTCGGAAAACATCTTTCTTCTTATGGTTATCATGCAAAATGTCACCTGATCCAGGTGTTTTCGTGATATCCACAGAATTTGCGTGACTTGGAAGAGGAGTAAATTGGCTTTCCTGTACCAAAAACAATATATGACTGCAAATGTTGATACAAGCTATGAGAAGGTCTTTTTAAATATCCTTAGACCAATAAAGCCAATTGTTTCATATTCTATTGCAATGAGAGCAACAGCAAGACCAATATCAACATTAATAAGAAAATAAATAATGACGAACCCCAGTAACTATTCCAGTCTTATTCTCCCCATGCTTTGGTAGACGCCACTGTGGCAAAAGTGGAATGGTATTGTTGGATCCTTGCATATCTACAGATATCAAAGATAAAATGCCAATTAAATAATACTCCAGAAGAACTTAGGAGGAAAGTGAGGATACAATATTTTATTGTTTCGATGAGAAATGACTCTGTAACAATTGTGGCCTTTTCCAAACCAATACTATAGACACAAACACTGATGTGGCGGGATGTTTTATTATTTTTTCTTCCAACATTTCTAGATGTAGTTATAAAAAATTGAAGATATTTTATTTCCCCTCCTCAAACCATTCCACAATTAATAATTAGGAGCGCAAGGCGTCGTCCACAAGTAAATTAGTAAACATATATAGCCATAGCTGCATTCTTTCAGCTCGTATGCATGAAAAGCTATGTGCTAAAAAAATGTATTAAATGTTAAATAGATACAGTATTCTTTGTGATGCAAACAAATATTATGTTATCACTGACTGACTTAGCTAAAAATATCATGACCGACTTAGCTAAAAATATCATGAACGATACACATTACTTACAGTTTTGTTTATTCCAAAACTACACTTCAAAGCAGCATATCACAGAGATCAGATTACTTTTGGTCATAATTTGTTGTACACGTCCAGAGAAAATGTAAAAGAAACATCCTCCAAACCAGTGTTTCGTGTAATGTCCCAATACAAAACTTCAACACAAAATGATAATCGATGCATCCCATGCAAAGAATAGAAACTAAATGAAAAAATTACTGTAGCAAGCACATACCCAAAGCACAAGGTTCATTATTACAATGGAGTAGAAACATTTTCTCACTTTGGTCATTAACTCTGGCAGCAGTAATCAACATCAACAACGTTAAATTTTAAATTTTTTAAAAAAATTCTTCTTTTCCGTGTAATTGCAGTTGTAGAAAATTCGGCAACTTAACACTGATATCAAAGTTTTGTTGAAGAAAACAAGAAACTCCATACTAAAATAATTGCATTCAGTCGCCACACGCAGGCTGCCTGTCACCTAACAGAAATCATTACTGCAATCAATAATACATAAGCAAAAGACAACAAAAAATTTAAACTATGAATCTGTAAAAAAAAATAGCACACCACGTGACAAGAAAAACATTGAAGAATGCCCTAAAAATTACTACACTTAACTAATAAATCAAATTAAAAACAGATTTTATCAACAGGAATTGAAACCCTAAACCCACAGTAACGCCACCCGTGGAAGAATAAAAGCACCTTCATTCCATGGTTTTATAGAAAAGAAAACTCGAACACACACATCGTCTAAAATTCAAATAGGAAAATCGAACAAATTAAAAACCGGTTATTTTAATTAATTCAGAGCGTATAAAGGGAGAATGACCTTTGGAGATCTGGTTAGGGCGGGAATCGAACTCAATGCTGTCAGCCATTAGCGAGCAAAAGTGTGAGTTTCAGAGAGAGAAAGCGAGTTTTAGAGAGAGAGAGAGACGAATAAATCCTTCTGATTGAGTACTTGGAGGTGCAGATGAAGTGAAGCCGTGAAGGTGGGGAGAATACTATGAATAAAAATGGAGTTTAGTTCTGTGTGTTTGTCTCGCATTATTGTAGAAGAAATAGAGTAATGAATAATATTTTTTGAAAAATATGTGGTTGAATTTTAAAATAACTACATTGGTTTATGTGTAAAATATTTTATTAGGGGGCTGTCTAGTTGGGATTTTCAGTCAGACACAATTGATAATTGGACTTTTTTTTGTTACCGTTTCTCACAAACCTTCAGCCGCAATCTTGGAAATGTAACCGTTGCTGGGCTTCAACAGTAATAAAAGCAATTTTAAGCTGAAATTAATTGCTGACAGACAGGGGCTAGGTGAATGTATGGTGGAGAATCTTACTATAGCAAATAATATTTTGAAATAATGCGAGACAAACTGGGCCTTAATGGCATGTCGTCCCACGATTCACGATTGCATAGGCCCACGACGTTAAATGTTTTTTTTTTGGCTAAACAGTATAAAACCCCTGCCTATCGGCCAAGCAGCCAAAAATTCTCTACTTTTTGAAAATAACACAAAATGTCCATGTTTGAAACGTTTAGTATGAAATACCCCTACCATCCATTTTCTCAGCAAAAATTGTAAAATAATGAATATACCCTCACAATCAAATAAAAAAAAAAAAAATTTAATTACAACCATTGTCCCTAAATTTTCAAAAATTACAAATAAGTCCCAAATAAATATTTGAAAAATCGAAACTAAAAAAAAAAAATTCATTTCCTCTTCCTCTCTCTCTCCCATCACCTCGTTGTTGTCGAGGCCACTACCACCTAGACTAAATTACAAGCTCCCTCTAAGCCAACCTTATGTCAGTGTGTGTGAATTGCACAACATTTTCCCCAAATGCTTAGGTAGTGTATTCAATTTGAACTTTTATAGACTTTTTTTAATTGTGTGACTTTATAAAATTTTAAGTGATTTCTATGGATTTGGTAAGAATTGATAAAAGTCTTCAATGGACTTTTGTAGACTTTCATTAGAGACTTTTATATATATATATATATATATTAAACGGCTTTTTATATATCCAAATGATCCACAACTCATATAATTGCAATAAATCATATTTTTCATATCAATAAAAAAAAAATTCTAGTTATATCAAATAGATTAACAAATAATAAAAATACCAAAAAAATTTAATAGTATTTTAGTAATGATCAACAAACATTCCCAACACCATTTCACATATCAACTACTATAGTAGCCCTCCATGCATTAGTACTCTCTTTCTTGTTTTTAACTCACAAAAAATGGTTCAAAGTCTTCCCCTTCATTAATCGAAGAAGATGAAGAATTTTCGTTTAACTGGAAATTCATCATAACAATAGTCTCTATGCAGAAAATTGTGTAATCCTACACAAGCTAATACAAGCTCCGCTGGATCTTGCAATTTCCTTGTGTTGAATCTTCCATTAAAACTATTGTTATATTGTGCATGCAATGTATTAAAATGTAAACAAATTATGAATGATAAAGATTGACTAAAATGTAAACAAATAAAATTAACATAAAAATGACAAATGAAAAATAGTAAAATTATTTTTTAGTAGAATCATATGGAGGCTACAAAACATTATTGATAACTAATCAGGCAAATAGAAAATGAAACATTCATAATATGGTTGACTGACAAATTTAAGGAAATGTTTTTATCCAAAAAAATTATAAATTTAAAAGAACATTAAAAATTAAACTTGCTCAATTCATCAATACACACAAAAGAACAACATGATAAAACATAACACAGAAAAAAAAAATCACAGAAGAAAAAACAGCAGATGCAAAAATTTATTTATGGAATTGAGAAATAAAACTTGAAATAATGAAGAACGACATCACAAATTCATGTGTGTTTGGTGGGGATTAAAATTGAATTTTTAGTAGATTGTGATAAAAGTTTTTAAAATGTATGGTTGAAAAGTTGTGAGACTCATAAAAGATATGGCTAAATATCATAATTATAAAACCGGACCGGCCCGGACCCTTGACCGGGCAAGGTAGATTAATTTTATCAAAAATGCACTTGACTTGGTCAAAATCAG